AGTTATATATACTGATGGCTGCGCTTAATTTAATCTAGCGAATTTTATTCCTTGTTGATAATTTTTATGTTTGGGTTTTCTGATATTTTTTTAGTTTGATTTATGTCACAAATTTAGTTGAACTTCTAGGGAAAAGATGGAAGTTATATATACTGGTGGCTGTGCTTAATTTAATCTAGCGAATTTTATTCCTTGTTGATAATTTTTATGTTTGGGTTTTCAGATATTTTTTTAGTTTGATTTATGTCACGAATTTAGTTGAACACAATGGTGAGAGAAGGATAAATTTTACATCTTTAGAACTATGGAAGATGGTTTTTACGATTTACTTAGAAATTGTTTTAATTTCCCAGCTTGTTTTAGTTGAACTTCTAGGGAAAAGGTGGAAGTTATTTAGCAAGGCCTCCAGCTTTTCAATGTGGAGCTTCAAGGTCTAAGTCGAAGATTGGGACACATGGCTTTCAAAAAGATGTCTTTCTGCATGTGGAGCTATATTTGTTCTTGATTTTTTATAGATATAGAACTTTACATGCTTTAGTGGTGTCCATCTCTACTGCTTATGCACCATACTGGCTTAAGACACCACTTCAAATTTCTTGAATTTTTTGGGTCAGAATTTCAGTTATTTGTGACCTCAAAAACCTTGGTCTAATTGTCAAATTCCTGTCTTGTATATCGAAAGTAATGGCTTTTAGATGACCAAAATTTGGATGTTAAGCTGCTGGTGTTTTCATAAAGTGAAATCCATGCTGAATTTAGATAAACGTTCAGCAAAAACTAGGCATGTTTCAGCCATCTACTCTTAGTGCATGTTGTCTACTAGTGCATCCGTGATCCTTAGTAATATTTTGCTTTGGATGCCTACAAAATGAGCCATAACTTCTTTTCCTTTATTTGGGCATATGATTGTGTTTCACTAATTCTTGTATTTTTAAGCAACCTGTGTGCAAAGTATGAGCTTTATTCTGTTATGAAAGATGACTGTTAAATAATTTGCTGATTTTTAATATGCAAATGCTTGGATGGGATGATAAATGATGTGTGATGAATTTATAATGGAAAATTGATGGTCTGCTTGCTAAAGTTGTTGTGCTGCACTTTCTATAACTGGTTGAGTTGAGTTGCTTATTTGGGTTTGAAAACTTATATTGGAATTAATGTCCAATATGTTGGGCTGCTAGCATGTTTTGTAGAATGGTTTAGCATGGTATTCAGGATATTCAATCTATGTGTTCCTCTTAATTTGGAATGTTCCTCTTAATTTGGAATATATGAGGCAGGAAATTAATATCGATATTTACAAATGAGCAAATCTTCCTCGTACTTTACAAGATACTCTCATATATGGACTCCAGTTCCTACTGTCCAAAGCCTAAGCAAATCCAACTTGATGTGTATAACCTTAAATACTAAGAAATGTATTTCATATATAAGGAGCTTGGATAGAAGATGTTTTTTGGATAGAATTATTTAGGAAACGTAAATAATGGTATAATGAAATCACTATGAAATAGTTGGGTTACTTTATGTATTTCATTACATTTTTTGGGGTTCTAAACCATTCTTCTTGCTTGATTTGTTGTGGATGTCCTATTAGATTCTCGACAATTCTAGGTGGTACTAGTACCAAACATAGGTTTCCAGGCTCCCCCAAAATTTTCGATAAGTTAGCGAACACAATACTTTCCAGTACCAGGCAATGTTTTAAAACACGGCCGCATATGCGGCGATGCGGTCGCATCATGCGGATGCAGTGGGCTCCGCATCAGAACTGATCGCATATGTGCTTTTGACCTATGCGGTTGCATATGCGCCACATCAGGCCGCATCCTGCATCGCATCGCACCACATCCCCTTCCGCCTAATTTTTTTTGATTTTGCTCCTCGGGGAGGGGCAAAATGGTCTTTTTGACCACCCATAAATGGGGGAAACTGTTTGGGGGTATTAAACCCCCTAAACGATGATTTCTAGCAACTTTTGTTGCTTTTTTTGCGTGAAATCGATGGAAAAAAAAATTTGGCAAAAATTTATTTTTCATTCAATTCTTCGATTTGGCGGTTCTTTGATACTTGGATGTTGATTTGATGCTTTTGATTGTTAATTTGAGGATGTTAGGGTGAATTTGTGATAAGAAATCGGGCGGCAAAATTTGGCTTCAAATTTCAAAATTGACTCTCAAAATGGATGATTGTATTAAGTTATTAACTATTAACTCTTCTTGAGCTTGACTTTTGGCTTGTAATATCACTATTTTGTGCTTATGGTTGTTTATGGTTGTGCTTATGGTTGTTGATTGTTGTGCTTTTGTGCTTATGGTGCAAATTTGTGCTTATGGTTGTTGATTGTTGAACGTTTTATGCAGCTAGTTTCAAGTTTCCAGTTTCTATCAGGGGATAGTGGATAACTGGATACAGAATCTCCAACAGTTAATAATTTTGAAGTTAATCATTAAACTAAAATACGTACTATAACATATATCATCTCCATATTTTTTTCTATGCATTAACCTATTTTTTTTAGATTTTTTAGAATTTTTTTACATTTATTGACTGCATCGTCGCGATGCACCCACATCCAGGCCACATTGAGCCGCATCGCCGCATCGGCCCCCCACCTATTTTGGCTGCATCCTGCATTTTAAAACACTGGTACCAGGAGCTAGATTATACAGCTTCACGGGTAGAAGGAACTTCCAAGTGTTAGATAACAACCAGCTGCTTCTAGTTGTCAAACAGGGCCTGAGAGAACGGGGAATGGAAGGGGGAAGATGGAGCCCCTTCTTCCTATCACTTTGTTCCCTAGTCGAGGCCCTTCTCTTTCTCTCTCTCTACCCAAGCCTCTTTTCTTTCTCTCTGTACCCTACTCGAGCCTCATTCCTCTCTTTAGCAAAGCCCCTTTTCTCTATCTCTCTACCCTACCCAAGCCCCAATTATCTCTCTACTCAGGGCCCTTTTCTCTCTCTCTCTTTTCGCTAGCCAAACCCCTCTTCTCTCTCTTCCTCTGCAACCCTAGCTCTCTCCAGCCAATCCCTTACTCTCTCTCTTTCTCTCTTACCCTTATCCCTTTTCTCTCTCTCTCCATGCAACCAGCCTCTCTTCCTCTTGTTATTATTGTCTTTCTTCAAGCCCTCAACAGCTCTCATATGGTTTTGTCCTATCCATCAAGCCCTTGAAGACAGCTCAGATATGTTCCTCGTTGATTCTACTTTTCAATGTTATTAAACTTTATTGTACTTTATTTTAATCTTCTTTGTTATTAATCTTCATTGCTTTCTTTGTTATTGGTCGTTGTTACTCTTCATTGCTTGTTGTTAATCTACACTTATTGATCTTCTTTGTTCTTTATTACTCTTCATTTTCTTTATGGCTTTCAATTTTCATCTCAGAGCTATGATATTTTTTGCATAATATCAGAACATATGCAATGATATTTCGATGATATCAGAAAATAAAGACTATTTTGAAAGAATGGTAAGGTATCTCTCGAAGAATGATAGGTTTCTCAAATTTATTTTGGGTGAATGAGTTGATATCTTTTGAAAGACACACTTGGGTTTTATTCTGTGGTTGGTCAATTGTTAGCTGAACCTTTGAGATATTCACATAGTGAGCTCTCTGTGAATTGATTCTGAGTGAAATTCCAAAGGATTGTTCTCTTGGTTGATTCGATGAAATTTATGGCTTGCTATGTAATGTTTTGGTCCTTGCTGTGAATTATCAACTTATTGGTTTAGTCATTAGCTTTTGTAGTTTCTAATTTTGATTATTGTCAAGGGAAAAATCAGAATTCTGTCAAATGTTCATTCTCTAAAGTTCTCACCAAAACATTGGTGAAAACTTCATTGTAAGCTCCAATTTAAACAAGGGAGCTTAAATTTGTTGGATAATCCCCTGGAAAGATGCATAGCATTCACTGCTGTGTTGATTGTCTTTTTTAATGTCTCGCATCCTTTGGAAAAACAAAATAAAAGTATATCAACTTTCTCTCAATCTCAAAAAACAAAGAGAACAAAAAAAAAATCTGAACTCTCGATTCTTTCATACTGTTCTTGCATACTATATTCTTTGCATTCTTGCCTACTGTATACTTTGTGGGTTCTTGCATTCTTGAATACTGTTCTTGCACACTGGACGTCTAGACTACTATTCTTGCATCCTCTCATTGTGTTCATTACTGATAGTATTGAAATGTTTGTATTTTAGATTCTTGGTAAGTGGTATATTGCTCTTTTGATTTTTCTACTTTTATGCTTTTGGATTGGTAAGAATTTCATGATTGATGAGCCATGTAAGGTCATTTTGCTTGAAAATTTGGAACATGGAAGTTCACAAATCTGATGACTTTTCCTATTCTTTGGAAGATTGGTATCAACAAGGTCGACTATAGTAATAACTAAATCGAACTATGAAAGCATAGATATTTAATAGTAGAACTTCTGGTTTGGCATATATGTATGCCTTCCCTTCTGGGATGGTCCTGCATTTCATGTCAAACCACCCCACACCCAGTTTTCATGTGGTACCTAGTTTGGCAATCAATTGAACATCCTCATTCACTTAGGGTGTAAACATGCCTAATTCATCAGGTAGTAGCAGCGTACCATATCTAGTCAAGCTTTGTCGAATTTACAATCTTAACCATCCATTATGTAAGTAATGACATGGATAGTTGTAACCAACAAATCTCAATCAAAACATAAGTTTAAGCCTCTAATCAATGGGTGCGTAATTAACAGTTAAATGAGCAGTTTCGAGATTCATAGGTTAGTAAACAGGGGAAATCGCTAGCAACAGATTTCCCCAGTTTTCTTGTACGGGTTACCAAACAAGGGTTCTCAACTTTCCGCTGCCAGTTTTCTACTCCTACCTTTTTCTCAAACTCCCAATTACTCAAAGGCCCTTCAGGAAAACAGTTTTCTCAAAAAAAGTAGGGTCTTAAACCTCACATTTTGCCTTATTCTCTTTGCATGCGTTGAGTCCATTGCTCACTCCAAGATTAGTTTCAATTGTAGAGCCTTGATCAACACCAACAACCATGGTGGTTCACTTAAACGAGCATCTCTCCTCCCTTGATATCCAACAAGAAGGAGAAGCTGAACTAGTTTCATCATCATCATCATCAGAAGAAGAAGAAGAAGACGAAGAAGAGGAACAAGAGGAAGAAGAAGCGGAGAATGTAACCCTAGGGTTTGTTGAGAAGCGGAAAAACCCTCGCACTCTGCAACGCCAGTTCTTTCCTAGCAAGGCTGGCGGTCAACCTGTGAGTCCCATTTCCATAGGTTTTTCTTTTTTAATTTTGAGAGCTTTTTATCAGTAGTCCCAAATTTCTATGATTTCTTCTTCTTCTAACCAGAATTTCTAGGTTTCTTTTATTATTGGGTTTAAGTGTTTGTTATTATTTATCTTGTTTTTAGGCATGGTTGGAGCCTGACAACTTACCTACTGGAGATAGTTGCATATGTGACATATGTGGAGGGCCTCTACAATTCTTGCTTCAAGTATGTGTTTTATTTTCTTTTATGAATTCCTATGCGTTAAATTCAGTATTTTTTTTGGAGGAAAAAATTTAGCCTTTTCAACTCTTTTTTTATAAGAAACTTCTTATGATTTTAGGTCGATACTCATGTATAACCTAATTTTTGTGTTTTTTTTCTGGATTTTTTTCTTGTTTTTATGGATTTTTTTGTTGGAAATTCTTTTTTTAGAAAGTGTTTTTTTTTTTCCTGTGGGTAGTTTTGGGTGTTGAGCTCTCTGTATATATTTCATATGTTGTTTTTGTATGTGTTGTTAATGATTTTGCCTTGTTATAAAAAATTATGTTGAATTATAAGTATCCTTGCTTTTGTGGATTGAAAGGTTTATGCTCCAATATCGGAGTATGAATACACCTTCCACAGAACACTGTTCGTTTTCATGTGCCCTTCCATGACCTGCCTCGTAAAGGACCAACTTGAGCAAAAAAATGCCAAATCAGGAAAAATAGCTCGAAGGTATTTGTTATTTTTTCGATCCAAGCTTTTGTGTTGCTTCAAAATGGTTTTTCCTGTTCTTTTGTTTGGTTAACACAAGCTGATGATTGCTTCATAACTTCATAATGGTTTTATTTTCTGCATATGTTTATTGACGTGTCCAGTGTGAAAGTCTTTCGTTGCCAGCTTCCTCGTGCTAATCCTTTCTATTCACCTGAGGCCCCAAAGTGCACTGACTCGCCTTCTTCAATTGGAGGTACTTGTGATTCCCTTATATTTGATTTAAGATATATTGCTATTTGATGCTTTTTAGAGGAAATAGATGGTATGTACTGGCATGATTCCAATTTAATCGAGACAAATTGAACACTTTAGGGCTTGGGAATAGGGTATAAAAGTCCATGAGAATGGTTAGTAATCACTTGTATCAATTGAAGTTAGCAGATCCAATTTTAGAGATGCCTACACCTGGCTTGCCAAGATTTTCACAATGAGAAACACCTTGGAAAGCTTTGGCTGGTGATTATCACAAAAACAAGAGCAGTTTTTCAAAAAGCGCTAGGCGACACCTAGGCGGTCGGGGGGGCTCCAGGCCTCCCATCGCTTAGGTGGGCGCCCAGAACCTGGACGGCACTGTAGAAATTTTTTTTAGGGAGTTTTTTCTCTCTAAAATAGGCTCTAATGGGTTTTAGGTTTCAAATGGACCTAAAACCCACAATTGTACACTTTTAGTATTAAAAAAATGACCCAATAATATCCTCAACGAGGGGCATTTCCGCTCCTGGGGGGGGCACAGGGCTTGGTGGTCGCCTAGGCAGGTTCAGGCGGCTGCCCAGGCGGGCGCCCAGGGATATCTGCTTTTTTTGGGCGCCTAGGCCTGGGTGATGCATCCAGGGCCCCAGAACCGCCTGTGCCGCTGCCCAGGCGCTGGGCGGTCCGCTTTTTGAAACACTGAGCAAGAGCTTTGAGAAAACATTTGTTAGAGAACTTATCGACATTTCCCGACTTCCTAAAGCCGACCATTTTCTTGAGTTATAACTCTTCAGCTGGATGTCTGTTTGGGGTTGTCCAAAGCTTGTATCGAAGATGTCATAGATATCTATAACTGCTATGTATGTGGCTCTTACGTGATTTGGATAAATTGAGTTCCATATCATTGTAAAGGAACTTGATAGAAACATCAGTGTTGAACTTTGCTTCCCTTGTAGCATTACGTTTCTTTCTTTTCATTATTGAGCCTTCATTGTAATTGGTTTTGACTTTAGTTTCATTATGTTATTGGGTTTCTACTAAGTAAGGTTCCAATCCTAGTTGGATTAGATTCCTTTCGTTGGGTAGCTTTCCTGCGTCTTTAGAAAACTGTTATCTATGCTTTCAAGAGTCAAAGTATTGGACAAATAGCCCAAGCTCGGGTAAAGGAAGTGGGTTACTTTGCCACTTCTACGTTATTTGCTTATACCAGGGCGTTCCCCATAAGCAAAGGCATAGGCCTAAGAGGACATGGTTGGAAGTAATGAGAAAAGATATGGGGACTTTTGACCTCAACAAGGGTATGGCCATTGATAAAGTAGAATGACGAACCAGGATTCGTGTAGCCGACCCCAAATAGTTGGAAAAAAGGCTATGATGATGGTGATGACCTGTGTAGGCCTATGGCCAATTCATTCGAAATTGAGAATGGTAATAAATGTCGAGTTATTTCTTTTGGTGTTTGGAGACCATCTATGGGGGAATTCCTTGACCTCAAGTAGAATTGCTTATCTTTTTTTGTGGAGGGAGTGATTTAATAATTTCTGCTTAAGATTAGGCGAGTCTCCTTGACAAGTTTTTTTTTTTTTGGAAATTGAGTCTCTTTGACAAGTTATAGCCTTCTTATATCCCTCTCATGTGGCAGGCATCTCCATCCAAGATTTCTAAGTAGCAAATTCGTCATTTTATTTATCTTTGATCCAATTGATCATTTCCAATGTTCAAGAAGGTGGATGCCGCCGGCGGCCTGCATAGGGGGGGAGGGGAAGATCCTTGCAGATTGTTGGAGCACCACCCGCCGGGTTTATTGTATATAGAATTCCATATTTTTGTTTAATAAATAAAATTATATATATTTTGGTATATAATGTATTGTTCAGAAGTCAAAAGTACAAATCAAACATAAACATACACGACTTTAAACTGTAAATAAAATAGTTAAAACTTAAAAGCAACATTAAAAGTATATTAGTCATCCAAAGAATATTAAAAAATAATCATCTAAAAAATTACAAATAGGAAATGAAGTACAAAGAATTATTACGTTGACCCTTGAATATCTTGTGTTTTTAACAATCCAAGGAAGAAGTAAAGCTAGCGTGATCAAGGCAAAAGAAAATCTAGGTAAAACCTAAACATCAAAATTGCAATGATTTGACGCATAAAATCGAAAAAACTTATTACTCATGCAATTATTTAATAAGACAATTATTAAACTAACACGTGAATGAAAATTATGGTGATAAAAGTTATGAATCATACAAGTAAACTCATGCATTAAAAAACAAATTGAGACCAATGTACTTTTCCCACTGAATTACTTTCCCAAATTAAAAATCAAAATGGGAGAATAATCCAAATAGTTGATAATATATCAAATACGTATCATAAAAAATAGAAAATAAAATTCAAAAAGCAAATAATAACATCATAATACATTTTACCCAAAAAAAAGATTGTTTCCCAAATCTCCTCTTGTACGACTACTATATGCCTTAAAAAGATTTAGGATGAATATCCTTCGATTTTGTAAGCATTCGAGGAGGATAAAAAAAAAATGATCTCTTGATAAATCTTCAAATCTTGTTTTTTAGAGGATTTTTCTCTCCCTAAACCTCACTAGAAAGGTTTTGAGGGGCAAGAATGTCCCCTAAAACCCTTTACCCCCCTTTATAGGGGAGAAAATGTCGAAAATACCCATTGGCCGAGGGGCATTTTTCACCCTCAGCCTCAAATTTTTGAGGCAGCACCTAAGCGCCTGGCTTTCAGGCCACCTAGGCGGGCACCTAAGTACACCTAGGCAGTTTAGGCAGCTGGGGCGGTTGAATTTTTGTACATTGATCATTTCCAGTCCCCAATAACATGGCTCACCACCTTCAACCCTCTAAACAAAAACTAGCCTTAGTCTCACCTCATTCCTTTCAAATCTATAAAAAATCCTTGCTGTACCCGCAATTGTTGAGCAGCTTCAACCGCTACAGTATCCTCTATTCCTAACCCAAATTATTACCCCAATCACACCAAACCTTTTGCCATTGCCTTTGCTTTAATCCTACCCAATTTAGAATTCATAGTCCTCTTATCTTTTTCGAATTGGGACTTCCAATCCCGTTCCAAATTCTTTCTCTATAAGCCCATCACATGTTGCACTTGTTGAGGAACCAAGCTCCCCTGGTCCATTTGTTAATTTGGTATAGAGCAAGTAATTTGTGGGATTTTGACTTCCATGCTAATGGAAACTTGGGCTGGAATGTATTGTTTTTTTTTTTGAGAAATGTTTACTATAATTGTATTACTGAGTAATAATATATGTACACAAAATGGGGTACCTCATAGAGGGCACCCTATACAAACGCAAAGGGTACAAAAGGAAACAAACGAAATTACAACTCGAAATTGATGGATGGTAGCACTGCAAAAATCTAAGAGCCCACCAGGGTGTTAGAATTTGCTCCCTCATGAGCAAGCTGTTTTGCATCAGAGGTAGCTTCCCAAAAAGTATGGCACCAAGAGATTGAGATATCTTGAGTCAAGTGGGCTATTGTTGGGTTTATGTGGCCATTAAAGGCCCTTATGAGAGCTTGCATAAGCATTTTATATAGTGAAACATAAACTCAATTGGGAGTGTGGTCCTCTTCTGGCCAATACTAAGCAAATAATATTTGCTGATACCGGATTGAGCAAGACGTGCTAGGCCAGTTGGTTGGGAAAAACCCATGTTATCTAGGTATAGGGATTAAACTGATAAGGGTTTTAATTGGTCATCCCTTGATGATGTCTGAGTATGCCCGGATGAATGAGTTGAGGGACTGTATGACCCTTCTGTGTGATGGTGAACCTCAGAAACGGGGGCCAAAGCCTCATCCACGTACCATCAATCGGCATGCACATATGATAGCCATATCGAGAAGGGTGAGGGTGGAGTGCTCTACTGTTTTGATTATTTTTAGACTATATGGATCCAATTCCCATCAAAAGTATTTAATTATGTTTGTTTTAGTGTTATTTGATTTTTAGAATTATTATTTGAATATTTTTGAATATCTATTTATGAAATTTGGATTTATAAAACAGAGATATTGATTTTACATTGTTTTAATTATTCAAATGAAAATTATAAATTTTTGAAAATGATAAAATTAATTTTAAAATATGGGGCCCATGGAAGTCCACCATCGGGTGGCACGCCTCACCTCATGCACTTTCCTTTTGTGAGATCTAAGCCATATGGCTTGAGGCTTAAGTAACAATGTGTTTTGGTAAGTTTGATTTTATGGAGCTTTTGAAATCAAAATAAGGTATGAAGAGGCTTGTGCATGGGAATAGAAGGTATAAAAATATTATTGATATTTTCATAGTTAAATTAATTGATGGGAAATTGGTTTAAGAAATGGAGGATAAAGGTTCTAGCACCTTCCATATGATCTTGATGGCCAATCTATGGAATGGAGGGCTCACATCTCTCGCCCCTAATATCAAACCGGAAAACCAAATATCAATGAAGTACTATATAATGGGGTGCCCTCTACCCATTCTCTACACATCTAATCTCTCTCTTCTCTCTCGCATAGAATTTAGAGGGGCACGCCCCAAGCATAGAGGCTCTCTCTCATCCCATAGGGGCATGTCCCAAGTAAATAGGCTCTCTCTCTCTCTCTCTCATATGATAAAGAAGGGGCATGCCCCACATAGAAGATGTTCTCGTTCTTTCTCATCTCCTATCTCTCATGGCCTAAGAGTTTAGGGTTTAGTATTGAGAAGCTATCTCTCTTATCTAGGTTATTAAGGGCTAACTATATATTCAAATTTGAGCCTTGTACAATGTTCTTGTTCCATTGGAGGTTTGACCTATATGCTTTCCCATCTTGTAGATTGAGGTTGACCATTGATCTCGCACCATTGATTGACTTGATGTGGGGTGTATTAAGCCTAGTTGAAGTAATCTCTGACACTCACTTTTTTTGTTTCTTGCTATATTTATTTCTTATGTCTTTTATTATTCCCAGG